CCCCCGCCTGCGCTCTTTGGTCCTCCCCGCTGCCAGCTCGCTTTTCCGGGGCCCCGGGAAGAGTCGCCGATTGGGGCGCCGGGGCGCCGCGCTCGGGTCCCACGGCGACCCAGCATTTCCCGTGCGCGCCGGGAGTGGAAGCTCGGCTCACCCACCCCGCGGAGAGCCCTCTGCCCCCAGACTCCGGAGGCCTGCAGCCCCGACTGTGCTCGGGATTGGCTGGTCCGAAAAGGGCGGCCGGCTGCCTAACAGCCCCCGTGCCCCTGCCCCGCTGGCCCCCGCGCCGTGCCCCCCGCTGCTGGGAAAGTCGGCGGTGGCCGCGGGCAGCGGGCGGGCTGCCCAGACCACTGCGTCACCCCAGCGTTAGGCGGGCGGTGGGTGACTCATCCCGCAGCAACGGTCTGGGCGTGGCGGTGGGGTCGGAGGCGGCGGTGGGGACCGACCCAGCCGGACCGGAAGAGAATGGCCGTGCCTTGTGGTGCAGGCCGCCTGAGCTGGTCGCAAGCAAGTTCTAGGGGCTGAAAGAAACCGACGGGATTGGGGAGGGGGTGGTGTGGAGACTCGGTGTAGGAGGAGACCTGCGACTTGGATGGGACTCCCCCGAGTTTCTCTTCCATTGACTCCTGAGCACCAGCGGGACAGCTCCCCATTTCCAGCTCACACCCTATTTCTCCTTCCTAATAACCCAACCCAACCCAAACCAAACCCATAGCCTGGGAGCCCAGAGGGCGGCCAAAAACTGCTGAGGAGGCCAAGATAGGGTGGAGTGCAGGCCCTAGCTACCATTCCGGAACCAATAGTCTTTGTGCAAGCTCCCTCCTTCCCTCACTCCACCTGGTAGTCTCTGCCCCTGCCTCCTGGGGATTGGCTTCTAATCCTTCCTTCATCCACCTCCATCCCTCCTCCCTCCAGAATTTTCCAGGCCAGGCACTCTCTAGCCCAGGACACACCTGAGGCTGTGAGGCCACTGCCTTTCCTGAATTACTTCCTTGAATCTGCTTCTGTGCCCCCAGACTTCCCATCGCCCCCAAATGTCTTCTGCAGCAGCTTCCTTGAGGCATCCTTTCCCCTTGATTATACCTGAGAACTGCTGGGGGTGGGAGGGGGGGGTGAGCGTTTCCTATTTCCAGGACCCCCCACCTCTGCCCCTATGCTCAGAGACTTCTAAACTTCTCAACCCCCCATCTATGTTAGTGGGTGTTTCTGCCTGCTGCCCCCACCCCTCCCCTGTTCCTGTGTTTGGTACACAGAAGCCATGGCAACAGCCCCTCCTTCTCCTTCTCCTCCCCCCCATCACCCCTCCCCAAACCTTGTGGTTTCCTGTTTGTGTAACTTCAGCTTTGTCTTCTGAGCATGTCTTTGAATGGTGAGGGGGGGCTTCCCTCAGGTGCCCTCAGAATCTTAGGTTTCTGATCGCCCTGCCATTACCTGACCCCTATAGCACTTCTCTTTGTGGGCAGGTGCCCTCAGCCTTTTCAGGGAAGTTCCAGCCCCAAACCTGAGTGGAGACCTTCCCTGGTCCTGTCCTCACAGCAAATGGATCAGCCCTTGGTCTGCCCCACCAGTGCAATAAGCACTGCGGCTGGGAACCTTTAAGTGCCTCCCCCAGCCCTTTGCTGCGGCCTTTCCTTGGGCAGAAAGGCATTGCGTTGGGTGGGGTGAGGGAAGCTTCCAGCCCAGGGTCTGGGTGGGGCTGACGGTTGGAAATGCCTTTTGTGGTCTCTGCCCCCTTTCTGGACCATTGTGATCCTGTGTGTGTTTGGGGGGCGGGGCGGAGGCGTTGAGCGTTTTCCCCACAGCTGGATCAGTTCTGAAGTATAGCTGCTCACTGCCAACCCGCCCCCCAAGTCGACCAGCTGTTGCCTTCCCTGGGATCCCCTGCTCCGGGCATCTCCCACGACGGCCTTCCAACTGGGCATCTTTCCTCTGCCCGCTTTGGTAGGCAGCATCCGTGTTCCCTTCCTTCAAGGGAGGGCAGGGTCTGGGCCCCCGGGGGTCTGTCCACAGGGTGGGCCTCTCTAGCTCCAGCAGCCGCAGCCCATCCGCTCCTGCCGGATTGTGGGGGTGGGGCAGGGAAACAGCTGCTGGCCAGGTTGCACCCAGCTGGGTCCACCCCTTTGCTGAGCTCTGCCCTGTGGCTCTGGCACTTTCAGACTCCAGGGCAGTGGCCCCAGAGTGGAGTGGAGACTGTGCAGCTGGTCCCCTCGGCCCTGCCAGCTGTGTCCAGGCCCCAGGATGGATGGGCCTCTCAGCAGCCATCCTGTCCCTCTGCTCAGGGCAGTCCACTCTCCCCCTGGGGACGATGGCAGGGTCTGGCTTCACTCTGCTCTCTGCCTGAAACCCTGGTGTCTGGGTTAATCATTCTCCTGCCCTTTCTTCCCCAGTGTCAGAGAGCCCTGGGCCGCAGGCCACTTAGGCCCCACAGGCACACACAGTCCCAAGGCCCAGAGGGCACAGTGAAACTGCTTCCAGAAACTTTGGCCGGAAGAGGGGGCTAACTGATGGCAGTGCCTCTAGCTACCCCACCCCCCACCTGATGTAAGGCTTCCAGCCACCCCCTTCTGCACCAGAAGTTCAGCTTCTTTAGACTGAATGGTGGCGGCACAGCGCTCAGCACTCGGCTGCTAACTGAAAGGTCAGCGGTCCGAACCCTTCTTCCCGCTATGGGGCACTTGTACTCTGCCCCACAGGGGCTCTCGAACTGACTGGACAGCAGTAGGTTTTGGTGGCCGAGGTGGGTGTGCACTGAGCGGCTGGCTGGGAAGCCTGTCTGTCTTGTCCTCAGGCCTCAGTCGTGTGTGTGTGTGTGTGTGTGTGTGTGTGTGTGTGTGTGTGTGTGTAGGTCACGGCCTAGACCTACATTCATCTGGGCCTGGCATTCAGCCTAAGGGAAGTGGGGGGAGTAGGGTGGGTTGCTCTTAATGAAGTTTAAAAATAACTGATTGATGGATGGCTCAGGGCCTGCGCAGCTCGATAAGAAGTAGGAAGGAGCGGCCACGGTGGGGCCTGGGGGAGGGGTGGGCCGGACAAGCACCAGCCCCCAGGCTTCCGGCAAGCCTGCCCTGGGCTCTGAGGGTGAGAGGTGTAAGAGTGGGTGTCAGGCAGCTGCAGTCCCTGTGGCAGGACTTCTTGTAATACCATGGAACCCTGAGAGCCGCTGTGGGGGTGGCCTGGCTTGTGGGACCTGGGTGTGTGGGAGGGAGGAGACCAGAGTGACTTCATCCCTTAAATCTAATCCACCTTGGCCTGGAGCAGAGGTGGGGAGAAAGGGCTGCTTCCTTGCTGGCAGGTGCCTGGCCTGGGGGACTTTTGTAGCCACTAGGGAGAGGAGAAAGAAGAGTCCAGCCTGGAGGGATGTGGGGGTAGCAGCTGGTGGGGAGGGGGCTGTCCCTTCTCTGGTTCTGGCTCTCCCAAGGCATCAGGAGCATTCTCAGGTCTTGCTCCCAGGTGCCCTGGACACATCTGGACCGAGGTGGAGAGGGGGGCCGGCTGCCCACAGAGAGGTGCTATTACCTCAGGAAACCACCTAATTTCATGCTAACCAAAGTCTTCAGATTCAGTTAAAGGAATGATCTGGCGTGCTTCCCCAGCCTTCCCTGGTCTCCCTAGAAATTCCGCCCTTGGTTTTGGTGCCGGTTCTTAGTGCTGGTGTAGCCGCAGTGCCTTAAAGCAACCCTCGTCTGTTTTCCTGCAGTTACAGGGGTCAGAGTCACGGGTGACCATCTAGGTGGCTTCCTTGGGCAGAATCTACTTCCTGGTCTTTCCCAGCCCTGCACCCCTCCACCCTCCACGTGTGTCACTGGGTCTCCCCCAGAGCCCGACTCTGAGTCTCCTTTTTCTCCCTCTGAAGGCCGTCTGATTCCATTGGCCCACAAGGTCATGGCCCCCATCTCGGGGGTCTGCCTTGGGTATCTCATGCAGCACACTGCGGCTCTCCTAGTAGGGAAAGCAGAATCTCTTCTTGGCGCCTGGTTCCTCAGGGGAAGTTCCTATTGTTTGATGGAATCCATTAAGGGCCCACACAGACAGACCTCTTCCAAGAGGCCCCCCAGACTGTGCTACCCAGACTCTTTTGTTTTTTTAATTAAAAGATCATGTATTGGGGGCTCTTATAGCTCTTATAACAATCCACACATCAATTGTGTTCAGCACATTTGTACATATGTTGCCATCTTTTTCTAGACAAATTACTTCCTGTGGAGCCCTTGGTATCAGCTCTTTTTCCCTCCCCCCCACCCTTGTGACCCTTTGATCAATTATAAGTTATTATTATTTTCCTATCTTACACTGACCGCTGTCTCCCTTCCCCCATGGTTTCTGTTGTCCGTTCCCCTGGAGGGCGCGCGCGCGCGTGTGTGTGTGTGTGTGTGTGTGTGTGTGTGTGTTTATGTGTTGACCATTCCCCTCCACTCCTCCCCCTCCCCCTACTACCTGTACTCCTCTCGGGATTCTTACAGCTCAGCTTGTGGTCTGTGAGACAGTTTTCACCGTTAGGCACTCGCCTTTCTCCCTAATGGTGCTCTGAACAACTGGACAAAGGGCTTCTAGCTCTTCCACAATCCCTAGCACGAACAGTGAGTGCTCTGTGCAGAACCAGAGGTTGATTGGGTGTTGACCTGTGGAGTCCTCCAGCTTCTGGCATCGGTTCCCCAAGCCTCTCTGTGTTCCTTCTCTGAGCCCTGAGCCCTGGCCTTTCTCGGGGCTGTCAAGCCAGGGCTGGGGTTGGAGAGACCAGTTTGTCTATGCTAACGCCCACCAGCTCAAATCAGGGGCTGACCCTCCAATCAGCGTCAGATGGACCCTGGTTCTCCTCCAGTGGGTTTTAGGCTTCATTCTAGTGGCAGAACCATTTGTTCAGGTGAAACATCCTTGGGAGTCCATAGATGGCCTATGTTCTGAGGATGCTATTCAAATCCTCATCAAGGAATCCAGAAGACATTTCTTCAGTATGGCAGCAGCTCTGGTCCTCACCCCTGGGGCCCACCGTGGGGGGATATGTCCTGCAGGGAGCCTCCCAGGTGTATATCCCTGCAGACGTACTCTCCTATCCCATTGGCAGCAGGGTGCTGACCTCAGGCCTCCGTGTGTTTTCCCTGCAGCTCCCCGCAGCCACCCCAGCTTCCAGAATGGCCAACCGGGGCCCTTCCTATGGCCTGAGCCGGGAGGTGCAGCAGAAGATTGAGAAACAGTACGACCCAGACCTGGAACACATCCTGATCCAGTGGATTACCACCCAGTGCCGCAAGGATGTGGGCCGGCCTCAGCCTGGCCGGGAGAACTTCCAGAACTGGCTCAAGGATGGCACGGTGAGAACTGGGACCACTTTGGGTTGGAGGCCCCAGAGAGCAGGGCCGGGCGTAGGGGCCTGGGGATTGTTCAGCTAATGTCACACCATCCCAACCTTGCCCTAAGGATGGACATCTTCCTGGTGCCCAGACCTGTGTCCCTTCCCGTCTTCAGAGGGAAGGGTCCTCCCTACAGCAGGAAGGGCCCCTGAAGGTCCCTAAGAATTTCTCTAAGGAAAGAACTGTAGGAGGGGCTGCTCTAGTCCGGGTTGAGATGGGGTGGGGGGTTATTGGAATACAAAGCCTTTTCATTCTGGGCTCAGAAGCAGGGGCGTGGGCAAGAAGGACCCCTTGGGCTCACTTCTGATGGGGGTCTGAGCGGGCTTCTCCTAGCAGAGCGACCTCTCTGGTCCACAGCTGCTGGTACTAAAGGCCATGTGTGTTGGCCCGAGGCACGCTTGTCTTCACCTCCTCTCTCCTGCTCTCCATCACCCAGGTGCTCTGTGAGCTCATTAATGCGCTGTACCCTGAGGGCCAGGGCCCGGTGAAGAAGATCCAGTCCTCCACCATGGCCTTCAAGCAGATGGAGCAGATCTCCCAATTCCTGCAAGCAGCCGAGCGCTATGGCATCAACACTACCGACATCTTTCAGACTGTGGACCTCTGGGAAGGTGGGACAGCGGCAGGGCTGGGGATGGTCCTGCAGGAGCCAAAGGTTGGGCTGAGCCATCTCGACTCGGGACAAAAAGAAATCTCTCTCTCTCTCTCTACCTAGCTATATCTATATGATGCCCATGTTAGGGGGTTGGGTGGAGAAGGGTACGTGGCAGAAGAATTATTGGGAGGCCAGGCTTGCTGACTGAGTGATGGAGGTGGAACCCTGGTATCCAGGCCCGCAGCCCTGCTGAGACCCACACATCCTCGTTCTCCTTCCCAGCAAAGAACATGGCCTGTGTACAACGGACGCTGATGAATCTGGGTGGCCTGGCAGTAGCCCGGGACGATGGGCTCTTTTCTGGAGACCCCAACTGGTTTCCTAAGTGAGTATTGCTGGGGCAGCTCTCAGAACAGGGCAGGCGTGGTGTCCTGGCCCGCTCCCATCCCTAGGGGACGACGGGCGTCGCCATAGCAGTGGCTCTTCAGAAAGCACGTTCACATTCCTCATCTCCTGCCATCCTCACGGCTTCCCGGGGTGGCCAATGATGGAGCCGGGGTGGGGGTGGGGGAGGTGGGCTTTAGAGAGCTGACTGGGCCCCCTGCAAAGCCTGAGCTCTGGGACAACCTGTGTGTGCCCCCTAACTAGCCCTCTGTTTACACCCAGGAAATCCAAGGAGAACCCACGGAACTTCTCGGACAACCAGCTGCAAGAGGGCAAAAACGTGATAGGGTTGCAGATGGGCACCAACCGCGGGGCATCTCAGGCAGGCATGACTGGCTACGGGATGCCACGCCAGATCCTCTGAGCCTGCCCCCACCCACCCCACCCCCGCCTGGCCCTCTGTGAATGGTTAATATATAGAAATATTTTGTGTTCAGCAGTGACAGCCCCTGAGGGCTCCCTGAGCCCTCTGCCAGGGTTGGGGACCAGCCTGGCCTGTCTCCTCTGGAGGTGCCCAGTGGTGGCCTCTCCCCATACTTACTAATACATTCCCACCCCTGCCCCAAACTGGACCAGCTGGCTTCTTCTTTTCTCCTGGGACCAAACTGTGGGGGGTGTCTCCACCCCCAGTTCCTTTTCTCTCTCCCACCGGGCTCTATGCCCTCACTGCATTCCTGGGCTGGGGGCCCAGGGGGTGCCTCCCGGCCTTCTGATGCTGCACTGGCCTGCCTTCCACCAGCTGTGGTTGCAGAGGCCTCGTTGAGAGGGAGGGGCCTGTGGCGGCTGCCACGCCAGCCACAGCTGGACCACGTTCACCGCGCCTCCGGGGCAGCCTTCCATAGCAGCGGGCCCCGAGACTTCTCATTTTCCATTCCCCTTGCTGTGGCTAAGGGGTGGCAGAGGAAGGAGGGCTGCCCACCGCGTGGTCTGGGCCTTGAGGAATGTGAGTTTGCTGATTTAAATAAAGAATCCCAGTCTTTTTTGGATGGACCCTGACTGTCTGCAACCATTATGCCCATGGTGGGGAAGGGAGGCATACTGGAAAAAGAGCATGGGCAAGGAAATGTTGCAATGTGAGCCCCTTTTTAATTTTCTCCCCATCTGTGAGGACAGGTGGGCCTTGAACAGAGGGAAGCCTGGAGACCATGTGCAGGGTAGATTAGCAGTGTCTCTGCGGAGGTGAGGGCTTCAGCTACCCAGTGGGCTTTGCGGGGAACAGCCCTGCCTGGAGCTTTTGGCTGGGCTCTTGGACAAGCTGGAGCAGTTTCTCTGCTACAGTGGAGGGGTGGGGGGTGGGGGGTGAAGCTGCCTGTTGGCACATTGGGGTCCTGGCAGGTACTGGCACCTTCAAGTGGAAGGCCCCTCAGGCAGGCCTGGGTCAAGGTGACCTCTGTTGGAGTTGGCCAGGCCAGCTTGGGGGCTAGGGTAAGATTGCAGCAGGGCCAGGAACTAGAAAGCCCCTGGGGGCCTGGAGTTGTGAACCAGAGTGGTCAGGGTGGCTAGTGGGAGGGAGGGAGGAAGCCATCGTAATTGGTTCCAAACAGCTGAGAGGCTGCCTGCTGGGGAGAGCCTAGCAGCTGAGCTTCCCTTCTACATGGGTGGCCTCCGAACCAGATCATTCATTTTGGGGTGACCATTTGTCCCTAGTCCTGGCCCAGGCAGAAATGTTCCGCTCATAGTTTCCAAGACCCACCCCAAACCAGCTGTCCACTTAAGAACTGCCCCTTAGGGTTTTCGGTGGCTGATATTTGGGGGGGAAATACCCAGAAGATCATTCTTCTGAGGTGCCCCTGGGTGGATTCGAGTAGCCAATCTCTGGCATTACTTGATACCCCAGCTTTCCCATCAGAGTCTGCCTTTCCAAGAACTTAGGGGACCCTGAGCAGGCCTCTTGCTACACCCATGGGACAGCCCCCGGGTCCTGGCCTCCATAGTCTCTCTCCCACTTTCTCCCTGAGCACATGCCTGTCTCCCTCCAACTCACTGCCATCCGGTCAACGCTGGTCAGTGGTTACACACTGGGCTGCAAGGTCCACAGTTTGAAATCACCGGCTGCTCTGAGGGAGAGAGATGGGGCTTTCTAGTCCCGAAAAGTCGCAGAGGCAGTGCTGCCCTGTCCTCTGCGGTCGCTGTGAGTCAGCCTGTCTCCTCAGGGGAGAAGAAAGCCACCCACAGGCTGCTACTGCTGGATTGTACAGTGATTGATAACCAGAATTTTCATTTTCCTGAAACCTGGCCCCTGTGTGCTACCCCTGCCCCTTGCACGATCCCTCCTCTGCCAAGAAGCACCTACTGCGTGTTGAGCCCATGCCGTGTTTTACGTGTAGCATCAGCTGAGTGGCACCTCTGCCTTGCCCACCCACTGCTTTCAAGATAATTCCCACTTGCAGGGCCCTCTGGAGCAGAGGGTCTCCACCTTCCTCATGTGACCCTTTCATGCAGTTCCTCATAGGGTGGTGACTCCTAACCATCACAGATATGTGTTTTCCCATGGTCTGAGGCGACCCCTGTGAAAGGGTTGTTCGACCCCAAAGGGGTCGGGACCCACAGGTTGAGAACCACTGCTCTAGAGGGTTTCTGAGGCTTTGTAAGTCTTTTCTCTCTCCCGAGGAGCAGCTGGTGGCTTGGACCCAGTGGTCTTTAGTTAGCCTTCTCAAGGTCATTCATCACAGGGGCTCCTTCACCAACACTGCAGGTGATCTTTGCCTTCTGGCTGCACTCCCCTGGCTGTGGTACAGGCAAGACAGGCTGCAGTCTATGTGCAAAGCCCCATAAGATTTCCTATCCCGGTCCCTGCGTCACCCAGACATGTGGCTCTTGTGGCATGCAGGCAAGTGGCAAGGACTTCATTGCAGAGAAAACCAGGGAATGTGTGGATCAACCCAAAACCAAACTCCTGCTATTGAGTCAATGCTGACTCCTGAGACTTTAACTCTTTATGGGGGTAGACAGCCCAGTCCTTCTCCCTAGCAGCTGCTGGTGGTTTTAAACTGCTGACCATGTGGATCTCGATCCAATGCATAACCACTCCATGACCAGGACTCCTTAACTATTAATAGCTGTAAATTATGGGCCACACACCTCACAACTTTCTGACACAAGTATATATGCCAAGGCACCAAGACAGAGCCATGGCGTTCAGCTGTTAGATCCCCACGGTCACCCCAGAGGTGGCTGTGAGGCCTTCACCTCCCGTTTTGTCTCCTGATGAAGACCCTGGGTCCCAGAAAGGGAAGATAACTTACCTAGGGCCACACAGCCTGTGGGCAGGGGCCTGAGCCCAGGCCTACCATGCGGTGAACCTGGCTGAGTCTGTGCTGTGCTCGGTTCAGCAAGTAGACCCATCGAAGAGCTGGGAAGCCCAAAGAGGGGCAGTCCATCACCTGTAAACAAGAGAGAACTCCTCCTGGGGTTGCTGTGAGAATTACCTGAGCCCCTACCTGAGCTGCAAGTTGCATAGTGCCTCAAACATAAATGAAACAGCAGCAGATAATGGGCGTGGAAGGACCTGTGCTGGGAGAGAAGAGACAGATGATGGCCAGCCTTTTGCCAGTGCCCAAGGAGGACAGGGGCAGCCCCGACACGTGATTCTTCAAAGCCAAAGACCTAGTGGATTTGAGAGGGGCCTCGGCTGTAGACCTGGCCTCTTGTCTGTGACCAGCCATTGCCTGTAAGCTCTGTTAACCAAAAATCAAATCGAAGTCCAACCTACTGCTAACGAATTGATTCCCACTCATAGCGACCCTTTCCCGAGACTAAATCTTTAATGGGACCAAACAGCCCCAGAGCACCTTGGTGGGTTTGAACCGGTGACCTTTCTGTTAGGAGCCCAATGCCTAACCTACCAAGGCTCCATGCCCCACTGCTGTCAAGTCAATTCTCACCCACAGCTGCCTTCTGGGACAGTAGAACCCACCCAGTGGGTTTAGAGACTGAAAACCTGCGTGAGAAGAAAGCCTCATCTTTCTCCCGAGAAGCAGTTGGCGGTTAGGTCAGCAGCCAATCAGTGTGTAAAAGCCACTACGCCACCAGGGCTCTGAGGACCCTTACTATCTCCCCTTAAACTCCCCACTCACTCTGTGCCCAGCTGCTTTCCTTTGGGACTGGCTTCCGTTGGCACATCAACATTTCTTTTCACTGTGTCATTTTGTCCCCTCTGAAGTCACCGTTTCATCCCTAGTGTGGCCTCCTTCCTCGTCCAGGTAGGTACTTCTCAGGCCCTGGGCCAAGAGGCATGGCCCTCTCGATGGCTCCGCCTTCCTGAGCCCGTTCCTAACAAACACCCTGTGGCTCTCCGCCCGGCCGCTTCCTAACCGTCTCCACTTGCAGGCCTGGTGCTTCCTGATCACTTTCCTCCCAGAGTGCCACGCGGCTGGCTCACGCCTCGATCTCCTTCAAGTCTGTGTTCCAACATCTTCTGAGGCAGGCCTGCCCTGCCCATTCGATCTCAATGGCCCTCCCCACCCCTGTGCTCCTTCTCTGCTTTGTTTGATCACCGCCAATAGATCGTGTAGATTTGCTTAGTTTCTGTCTCCACCCAGAGAAGGTACACTGGATAAGGGCAAGGTTTTTGTTGGTTTTGTTAGTGTACGAGAAAGTGCCTGACGTTGTGGTAGGTGCTACTGTTGAATGAGTGAAGGAATGATTGCTTACGATGCCATCCTCAGCCTCTCAAGCTTTGGCGACATGCTGCCCAGGCAGCCGAGGGCCTTGGACCCCAACCTCTCACTGGACCTGAGATGGAACCCAGCTACTAAGTCCATGTCCAGTGCTTTCCTATAGTTCACGGACAAAAGGCAAAAAGACTAAGGAGCTGTGTGCTCCCAGCAGCCAGAGAGGTGGTGGCTGGGGAGGGGCTGGAGAGTGGCGGGTGTGCTCAGGGCAAAGGGAAGGCGCAGTGAGGATTTGGGAAGAAGGAATGGGAGGTGGGTGGGGAAAGAGGCAGGAGGCAGCTTCCCTTCATTTACTCACTGCCTTCCACTGTGGAGTGGAAAATCACCGTGGAGGTGTGGAGAAATTAGTAGGCTTGGCCTTTGGTAACCAATGAAAAGGAGAGCCAGAGGAAAAAGAGAGAGAAAGAGGGAAAGAGGGGTGGGGGGAGGAGGAAAAAGGTTCAGAAGTGCTACCCAGTTTGGCTCACCTTCAGGTAAAAAGCATAGATGTGTGTAGTGTCAGTGTGTGTGTGCAGGGATAAGAGACCTGCCATTACCAGGGCTCTGGAAGGTGAAGGGTGGGAGGAGATGCATAGGTCTGAGATCCGGTGGTGGCCCATGAGCGCGTGTTTACCAAGGTTTGGGATTTATAGGTGTGGGGAGGGTGGGGGAGGGGTGTCCTGTGCGCGTCGGCTGGAGTAATCATCTGTGTGTTTGTACATGGCTCTATGGAGAATAACATGTCCCATTCCTGCCTCTTCAGGGGAGGTAGACCTTTAAGAGTTTGGCAATAGGCCCAAGGAGCAGTCGAACAAGGAAAGGCTGAACTATAAGGCCCCAGAGAGGGAGCCATAAAGGATCTGGATTAAATTAGTTCAAGAGAAGGCTAAAAGGGTAAATTAGTAACTGTCTCTTTGAAAGAAGCGGCTTTTGTCCCAGTGGCCAGGGAGGTAGCTTAGAAGGCAATGCGCTGAAGTCGCAGAGAAATTTTGGTTAGACAAGGATAAACAATCCTCTTGAGCAGAAAGGTTATTAGCCTATGGATCTCTGAAGGGTCCGGAAGAAAGAGCATCGTTAATGGAACACGTCTCATCTTCTTAAGGTGGAACATGGGAAGTTCTGCCTGGGCATGCACATGCGCAACTCGTCTTCCTTCAAGCGTTCACTCATTCAATAGCGAGTAAGACTTCTCTCCACGTCAGGCCTGGGGAGGCACACAAAGACTGTTAAGCTTCTGTGTTAGTCTGTGTACTTTAGAGAAACAAATCCACAGAAACGCATGTTTAAGAGAGAGTTTTATATAAAGGGTAAGTGCCCATCAAGAAAACATTTCAACCC